CATTTTGGTTTTGATTTAAAAGATCTTTCAGCTACAAGTATCCTTGAAATCACTAAAATAATATTAAACTCAATAATTATTTTGGCAAGACTATAGAATCATTTGCAATTTTCTGTGAGACTTATTCTATTGAAAGAGACAAAGAGACAAAATCCAATGTAAAATCCCCCTTCTATAATTAATCAAGTTCACATTTTTTTGTAAAATATGTATATGAGCAACCTAGGCATTTCCATTTTTCAAAAGTAAACAATATACTCTGCCATATTAAAATTACATGTATTTACCTTCAGAATAGGCTTTTAGAAGACACCAAACCTAAAGAGCTAAAAAATGCCATTCACTTAAAATTGTAAAATTCCAGTAAAAATTGTACAGGATCAAATACTGAAAACATATGTGACTTTGTCCCCCTCCCCTCCATAATTATGGGTCTCACCAACAGTATATAAGTAGATGCCTAAGATGTCAAACATGTTGCAATAACTTTGGGCTTTTTTAGCTCCAAAGGTACTGACATATTGCAACTTTAGCACAAATCTTATAGTGAGCTTAATTTGATTATTTTGCAGTCCATGCATCTTGGAATTGTTTCAGTCAAGAGAAGTTCCCTATTACATTCTCAATGTTATTTTCTGATCTGAGATTGGACCACTGTCAGTATAGGCAAGAATCCAGATCACAAACTTTAATTATTAGTTAACCTGAATTGACCATGGGCTTGGCTCCTCTTGTGTTAATAGGTTCCTGACACTCTCTTTGGAATCATCTCTTAAAAGGCTGGGTTGCAAATGTGTAAGATCTGTCAGGAAGCACTTCTGACAATAGGGTTAGAGAGCAACAGAGCCAATATTAAGGAAAGAATAGAGAACACCAACTGGATGTGCTATGTGTGCCAACATTTGGAAAGAAGACATTGTTCTCTGAAACTAGCAAATCAATCCCCAATTACAGAAGGGGCTTCATACTAACAAGTGGAAAGAACCCTTTGTCCTCCTGATAGTATCCTGAAAAATGAATGGAAAAACTAACCTAGCTTGAGAGTTTTGCTCTTGAAGCTTCAAGAATGTTTAATTAATGGTCTGTTATTCTCTATAGTTTATAAAGATATACAGCATTCTTTCATTGCCCTGCCTCCTAAAACCAGCATGATTATTGCAAGCCCTCTTTAGGAAGGAAGGAAGGAAGGAAGGAAGGAAGGAAGGAAGGAAGGAAGGAAGGAAGGAAGGAAGGAAGGAAGGAAGGAAGGAAGGAAGGGGAAGGGAAGGGAAGGGAAGGGAAGGGAAGATAAGAGAAGGGAAAAGAAGGAAGGAAGGAAGGGAAGGGAAAGGGAAGGTGAAGGAAGGAAGGAAGGAAGGAAGGAAGGGAAGGGAAGGGAAGGGAAGGGAAAGGAAGGAAGAAAGGAAAATTGTGTAAAACTGTATAAATCAGAGAAGAAAAATGAATTGCTGCCCCTTGATAAGTACAAAGCAGTTATCATAATATTCATTCATTCATTTAGCTGCATCCTGCCTTTATTATTTTTACAAATAACTAATGGCAGCGAACATGTCCAACACATTAATATGTTTTAACTGTGAACATGAGATTAGTTTGTTTTGTAATTTTACATTTGGATGAAATTCTTTATTCATTTACAAGTAGTCCTTGACTTACAACAATTTAATTGGTGATTGCTCAATGTTACAATGGCACTGAAAAAAATGACTTATGACCATTTTTCACACTTATGATCGTTTCAGCATCCTCATGGTCATGTGATAAAAATTCAGCCACTTGGCAACTGGTTCATACTTATGATGGTTGCAGTTTTCTAGGGTCATGTGATCATCTTTTGCAACCTTCTGACAAACAGTCAATGGAAAAATCAGATTCATTTAACAACTATGTTACTAACTGAACAACTACAGTGATTCACTTAACAACTGTGGCAAGAAAGGTTGTAAAATGGGACAAAACCACTTAACAAATGTCTTGCTTAGCAACATAAATTTTGGATCAATTGTGATCCTAAGTCAAGGATTACCTGTATTTCATATTATGTAGATTTTGTGTGATTTGATAATTGAATAAAATGAAACAATTAACTAATATTTAATGCAATTCTCCAGAAGTAAGAGACTACTGTACTTCTCTTTTTGTGATCCAAATTATGAATAAAATTATAACAGTGACCTTATAGATGACAATCAGAGGTGGTATTCAGCAGGTTCTGACCAGTTCTGGAGAAATGGTAGTGGAACTTTTGAGTAGTTCAGAGAACCAGCAAATATCACCTCTGACTGGCCCACCCCCATCTATTCTCTGCTTCCCAAGTCCCAGCTGATCAGCTGGGTCTTCTTTGGTTGCCCTGCACAGGAGAACGGAACTGGAAAGCAGGTTAGTGGGATGGGGAGGGAATGGGATTTTGCAGTATTCTTCCTCTGCCACACCCACCAAGCCACACCCACAGAACCAGTAGTTTTGAATCCCACCACCAACGACAATGCTTTATATGATAAAATGACAAGGAGTTGACTTTTAAGGCAAACCCCTTTCCAATTAAAATAGCTTTTTAATGAAAATTCTGCAACTTGCAGAAAGACTGAGCCCTCAGAACTTCTTCTTTTTTTAATAAATTTTTTATTAATTTTCAATAAACAAACATACACAAACAAAACAAAAAACATGAAAACATAAAACTTCTTTTTGGAAAGCAGCTTAGTCCCAGGTTACATCTTTTTGTACAGACATAAATCAAATTCATGCTCACTTTATATACCATTTCATATCTTATTTACCATTCTACATTTTCTATATAGCTTCTCCCCTTTTTTCACTCTCTTAATTCTATTTTATTTGTTTCATCTCAATTTAAATCATTATGCTTGTATCTTTTGTCTGTTCTATTTCAATTATCTATTATCTTTTCTCATTAACACAAAATTTCTCCTGTAATCACTGATTGAAGTATGACGCCTTTATATCTTTCCCCTAAATTTAACACTTAAAATAATATATAATTTTCATTCTGATTCTGCTTAGTACATTCTAAAGCTACGTACTATATTTTAAAAAAGGAAAATAATAAGTTTATAATATAATTAAAACAATAATCCATAGCAAATTAAACTCTATCATTAAATCTTAAGCATTTTACACATTCCTTTTAATATTTTATCCCATTTTATAATCATATAATGTTCCAGTTTTCTAACATTATTTCAAATACAAATACAACAATACAGTCTTATGTACTTTTGCAGAATCTCTTTTTTAAATCATATTTTTACCCATTATCTCTGAATAAATCCTGTTTCTTTACATCTTGTTTCAAACCTTTGTAACTTCTCTTCCCTTTTTCCCTTCCTTTCTTCTCCAATCTGGCCTTTTTACCCACCCACCCGTCTCTTGATCTCCACCCTCTTAATCTCCACCCTCTTCTGTATTCCTCTTTTCTGTTGCTTTCTGACATTGTATCGATTTTTCACCTTATTTTTCTCTTTTTTGGTTGTTTTTTTAAGTCTTAAATTCTCCATTATCTTTCCCCTCTTTCCCTTTTCTTCCCCAGCTAAAGTTATTTGTTCATTAAAGATGGCTTCTTCTTCTTCATCCCAACCTTCTTGTTCTTGTAATTTCTGATAGGTAGAAATCGCCATTTCTAAAAAATGAAAAACAGATCCAGAAGAGCTCTTCCCTTCTTGTTCCTCTTCTTTTAGCTTTTTGAATTCCATTTTCAGTTCATCAACAAGTAATGCCATTGTGAAAAAATTTTTAAACAACCCAAATGTTTTTAGTTTTTCAAATAATAATTTTCAAAGGTCCCAAAGTCACCAAGCAATCCAAATTGACACAAACTGTTTCATTTAGCACTTTCTTCTTTTTATACTTTCTCTTCCTGGCGTACAGTTCAATTGCAAAGTTCCAAAGTATATCTTTTAGAAGTCTTGTTACAATTTAACTCTGATCTTATAAGTTCCAAGCAGCCTCCTCCAGCAAAATCTTAATATTAATTCTTTTCCTCTCCCTTCCCACTTATAGCAAAAAAAGTTTTTGTTTTTAATTCCAATGTTCAGAAATCTTCAATGTCCCCTTGGCTTTAATTTTCAAATTTAATTACCTGCTGGTGCCAAAAGGGGTTTTTCTGATTTTCATCTGCTATCACCATAAGGAAGGAGAGTGAGAAAAAACAAACTTTCCCTTTTAACTTTCATCCACCGCTTTTTCCGATCTTCGTTGGGAACAAAGTATCTTTAATGAAATTAAAATTCCAGGGTATTTAAATGTTACCTGTTATCCTGGTTCAACCAAAAACTTTCACTTTCTCAGCTTCCTCCTGCACTTTCTTGTCCAGATGAAAGCTTCTTTGTGGCGGCCATTGCTGACCGCCGCTCCACCGCTTTTGGAAAAGGGAGTTAAGCCAGCTGAGGAGGGGGGTTGCGATTCCCCTGGACCCCTGCTGGGTCTCCCCTGTCTTCAGGGGAGGATCGGGAGCACTCCAGCGGCGAGCGCAGCAGGAACCGCACACGATCGCGGATTCCTGCCGCCACCGAAGCCTTGCAAACCGGGAGCCCCAGCCCTCAGAACTTCTTAATAACTTTCTTTCCACTACCCCAAGACTTTCTTACTTCTGTTTTCCCTCAATCCCAGAATGCTGTAGTATGTCATATTTAATTATTCATGGCGGAACGAACTAAAACCAGAGGATTTTTTTAATGGCCTATATACACATACACACACACATGCTGAGAATTAAAATGATAATTGATTAATTTGCCACCTAGGAGATTGCAACAACAATTGAAAATAAGAAGATTTGTTTTTCTTTCTTGATTATATCTTAAATATAAGGCTAAAAAGTGCTATGTAAATAATAACAAAATAACCAGAGTTGTATATAACAAAGAGGTTAGGCAATGAACATCTGGTTGTGGACTGTCAATCACTGGGTATAAACTTCCCAACCACATGTGCGCACAGACCTGATAGGTCAGCATGAGATAGAAAGTTGAGACATTTACCTCTTCACAGACAGTATCAGTTGATCCAGACAAGCTTTGATCTTGTTTTGTGCTTCTAAATGTGTCATGGTTTCTGTGCTGTCACCATTAATTGACAAAATGACATCACCTGGGCAAAGGTTAGCAAGAGCAGCTTTACTTCCCGGATTTATCTATAGGATAAAAAGAAAGAAATATTAGAAACTAAGATATTTTGATTGTGTGAAACTCAGATCTGTCCCTGAAAGGGCAAACATATGGAAGTGGGAGATATTCTAAAATCCCAGTGAGCTATCCTGTAGTTTTTGTTGCTGTTGTTGTTGCCTGAGTCAGTATTGACTCCTGGCAACTGCCTGAACAAGTCCCTGCAATTTTCTTGGCAAGATTTCAGAAATGATTTGCTATTGCCTTCTTCTTCCTAGGTTGAGGGCGCCTGGCCCAAGGTCAGCCACCTGGCTTTGTTCCTAAGGTGGGACTAGAACTCACAGGCTCCCGGCTTCTAGCCTGGTGTCTTAAGCCCTAGTGTACATCAAACTTGGCTTTCTCCTGTCTATTAGTGGCTCTAAACACCACATCCTAGCTAGTGCATGTAGTTGGCAGTTAAAGAGAATGCGATGTTATTTTCTACCTCTGAGTATGGTGAAATTACCCATATTTTATCAAGCACTGCTGAATTTAAGAGTAGAGTATAAATATAATCCATTAATTTGCAAAACTGAGTAACTAAGTTGGAAACAAAGCCACAAAATAATATACATTAAATATACCGGTATTATCTCAATATATTTGAAAAATATAACATTTTTTCCAGAAAATAAACTTATTTTGGGGCTTGACTTCTCTGAGAATTGGGGTACGCAGTAATTCAAGCAGAATAATTCTTGGAAAATAGTGTAAAATTATACAATTATTGAAAAATGCTAACACTAAATTCCTAAAGCTCTAAGCTGAACTGGTAGGAGAGTACTGGTAATAGAAAACAGCACCATGAAAGCCTTTTTCAGAATTTATCAATAATTAATATTTTTTCCTCTCAGTTTCCCCAAAGACAGATGTCTGAAATTCAGATTTCACACCATGACCAGTGATTCATACCTAAAGCAAATTATTTTGTGGCTTTGTTTCCAACTTAGTTGCTTAGTTTTTCAAATTATGCTTTGGAAATATTTGTTAAAGATGCCGGTATGACTCATTCAACAAATTATGATTTCTGGTTTAATGTGTACATGAATGAAATTCATATATAATTCATATATATGAAATTCATATTTCATAGTGATAAAGTACCTTTGTTTTTCAGGAGGCAGATCAATATTAAGTGTGTAAATATTCTTCATATTTTCTAAATGTTTGCCCTTCCAGAAACCAAATCTGATTTTTGTATCTGTAACTTAATAAAAACAATTCTTGAGAACTGATTTCAATTCCGAAATCAACATTTTTAACTCAGAGTTCAACAAGTTCTAAAATGTGGCTATAAATATATTTGATTTTTGGAAATCACTAGCCTTTAATCCCAAGTTTCAATGCATCGTGACATGGATCAGTTCTTTGATACCAAGCAATAAATGGTAAAATATTTCTGCAATTAAAAGAAGCAGTCAACATTATGGAAACCATACTAATAGCTTCCCGTTGAGGTGTTATCTTCCCCAACAGCTTTGCTTGGCTAGTACTCAAATAGCTTGTCACTTGCCAGTCATGCATGAAATATCATGCTGTTTATTAAACTCTACAGCATTTTCCCTGGTGTTTTGTCTTAATGCCAAGATCTTACAAAGACTGTTACTTTGTTTAAATGTGACTAATGGTAGATCCTAGCAATATTTGTAGTTCAAGTAAAATACATTTTTAAAAAAATCCTTCAGTAAGCATCAATTACACTGGTATTAAAAAAATTGAGTTCCACATATACAGCTGACCTTAACAATAAATCAGTGGCTAGTAAATATATGAATGTATTGATTTACCTCTGCAACCTAATATCCTCCAAGACATTTGGGACTGTATACTCAGTATGCTGGCTGGGGAATTCTGGGACTAGAAGTTCACATATCTTTAAGTTGCTAAGGTTGAAAAACACTGCTGTAGCTCATGTAATTTTTAATTGGAGAGGAGTAAGTTGGCAATAGCAACATTTATTACAGAAGTTTCCTCAATACTCCTTCACAACTTGTTATTACTTCTAGACTCTAGATAGCTGGCATTATCTAATGAGAAAATGTTCTGATGGTTTTTAATCATATCTGTCCCATTAAATACAATATTTTATTGCAGCTACAATCATTTCTCAATGTGTGTTTAATACGTAAATACTTTTCATCATCTCCAGTTTTTTTTAATAAAGAACATGTTGCTTCATGAGGATCAGAGATAAAGATATTTCCTCAGTATATACTATTTATTTTCCATCAAGGCACAGAAAGAGCTTTCTTTTTCAATAAACAAACAAAAAAGAATTTTCCAAGTCATTAGTCGCTTTCAGAATCTGATAGGACATAGTACCTGGGTGTGATTTTTTTTTCCTTTATTGAATAATATTATATTGAGAATAGTAATATAGTGAACCCAATATTATAGCTGAAGGACTGTAAAATTCTTGACACAAATCCATTCTATACCAGATCTACCATTTCTGGGCTGCAAAGATTTACCTGACAACAAATTTAAAAAACTAAAATTCTCTTCTATTGTCTAGAACTCATTCAGATGTTTGTAGCAAATGAAGTAGCCATCTCTAATCTGAGCTCCAAACTTATGAAGAAGCCCAATTTAAGCTCCTTTGTAAAATAACCTGTTAATTTATTATTAATTTTAATTTAACTAATACGTTCATTATGGCACATGTTATACTTCTACTACTTTTCTGTTAACCTATCCAGTTTAGGGTGACCACATTTAGGCTATAAAAATCTGGATCAACAAACAAAAGGAACAAAGAAAGTTGTCTGCATCTCTGCCATCCATTATTTGTCTAAATTTGGTTTATGACATGGTAGCCCTTGACAACAACAAGAACTTTATGGCCTTTGGGTATGCGTGGTTAATTCCTAAAGATTTGTCTCTTTCTGCAACACTGAACTTCTCCCAAATGCTTCTTGACCCTCTTTTTTTCTTAGCAGTCTTGACTGATTAAATAGTCTTGATAAAATGCAAGATTTCAATTTATGTAAGATTATTCTAGAACTGCTCTATAAGTATCCCTAATTCATTTCATTCAGATTAGTGGATTTAGTTTCACTCTCCCATGGCAATTCCCATACCCAAACAATAAAATTGCTTTGCAATGTGAGAAAGAAAATCCAAGTTTTCTAGTTTGGTTTGGAAAATGTGCATAGTTTCAAGTATAAGTCCTTCCTAGGTATCTATTTGCAGCTCATAAATCATTTTCTTTCCTGAAGCTGTCCTCTGTCCCAATAAGGTAAAGACTCCAAGAGTTTGAATGAAAACTGTTTTTATTTTTTGCCTTCAGATGGGATGTGACTGATTACTTAACAAGATTAGATAGTTATTTGACAGGAAATTTGGGCAAGCTATTTATTCTGATTTTGAGATAATCTCTTATACACCTTTTTTTCAAATGCATAGGAAGGGAGGAAGTATTAAATAAATGGTACTACCCATTTCTAAATTACTAGATTTTAATAACTACATAATCTGCCCTTTTAGGTAGACCAGTTGAAGAAATAAGTTACTCCAAGACTACTGGAATTCTGTTATTTGAATGGCTCACAGAAGTTCCCTATTATACCAAAGAGAGTCAAGGCATAGTTATTTTGAGTTACTTTCTCATCCTCTCTTCCTTCCCAGGGCTATGTGGAGGTTTAGCTAACGATTCTTTTGTTTCTTCTGTAGTGTTCCATATGCTTCTTGGTAGCTAAGCTAGCCTTTGTTATAATATGCTTAAACAAAGCAAAAAAGAAAATATGAAAAAGCTTATTTAGTTCAATGTTGTTTCTATTAAGACCTGGCAGTAGCTTCATACAGACAAAAGAGAAAAACATATTACTTTTAAAAAATTATACAACTACGTTGAATTAAAGCAGCCTTGCTAGAAATTGGGAAAACTGACACCATCAATTAGGGGAAAGCTGAATCAAAACAACATTGTACATATTGTGGTCAATAATACTCATGGATAATATTCGATTATATGTCACCTTTACAAACAATAGCTGAATTGTTTTGGCAAACATGTGAGTTAATGTCTTTTTGGGGGGGGCAAATGAAAAGCCACTCCTGTCTTCGAAAAGAACATTTAAATTGACCTTTTAACATAATATGAATGAAGTGACTCAGTACAGAATACCTTGGATATTCCAGTTTATTTTTTTTGGCGGGACTGGAATATTTTCCAAAGTTTAAAACTTTCTATTGTGTTTGTAAAAGCTGAAACGAAGTAACAGCATTCAAGAGATAATGTTACTCTTGTTTCTGGGTTGCTAAAGTTGATGCCTTCATCCAAGGTTGTCTCCTTTTTCTATGTTTGCATGATTTCTATATTCAGATTGATAACTGACATTATGAATGGAAAAAGAACAGTATATTCAGAGTTAGCCTGTTTTATAACCTGAATATAATATATTTCATGTAATCTTGCCTCAGTCATGAGTTCAGTTGTGGTGGCTTAAGCAGGAAGGCTGTTTCTCTTATCTTCATATTTTGATTCATTTAATCATAGTGATTTTTGTACAGTATTTTTGTAACCATGACCCCCAACACTTTCCCTGTTAATTATTGTTTCGAGCAACCAGGAACAAAAGGATCATAAGAGTAATGCATGTTCTTTTAACACCATACAAGAGAATTACACACAGTGCCATTTAACCTAGTTAAATTTAAAAAGTGGGCTTTTTGTAAGTTTCCCAGGAATGGGAATTTTGAAGATATGCAATAGAGGCTTATACACTTTGTTCAGTTAGGCAATCCATGACCTAAAATTGTCCAGATCCAGGATCCTTTGGAAATATATGCAATCCTAAAGCATCCCCATTTTCAGGTGGATGATGAAGTTAAAACATCATCAGTTTATCTCTTGGGGTCTCTTTTATTTTACACTTAGACTTTACAAAAATATTTTTGATTATCATATTAATCCAATTCAAGTATTTAACTTTTGCCCTTATAAAACTATTTCTGAATTACTGTTCAATTCTGAAAAGAATCTCACAGT